TTCAGAATGACTAAGGACTGTTTAAACCTCGTGGCTGGTTAATCATTAACGAAGACTTTTGAAAAACAAAGTAGAGCAAGCCAAGAAAGAAGGGTAGCTAAAAATTAGCTCAGGAAAGGTCATATTTCTTGCAAATGTAGGGTTTGGTGTTGCTTTCGATTGTGGGTGTAATTGTGTGGGATGGAGTTGCGAGGAAATATAATCCCACTGAGGGAGCTGGTGCGCCTCTGAGGGTTTTGCTTGGGACTCTCCCCGCCCTCATTGTCATGGGGCGGGGGGAGGTGGGGGAAGGACTGTAGGTCTCCATCACCTTTGCCAAGGTGCCTGCATTCCTGTAGGGGTACCAGGGGGGAGAGTGGGAACACCCTGCCCAACACAGGTAGCTGCTACCCGAAGCTGGAACCTGGAAATCCAGGGAAGGAAGGTGTGGGAACCGGAAGAGCCTTGGCTGCCCCTACCAACTGTCCCTCAGAAGATCAGGGTGGGTGGGCATCACCTGGGGCCAGGAAAAGGGAAGAGAGGGAGTCACCCGCTAGGGGGAGCACTCAGATGCATGTGCTGTTGATTGCTAGACAATCCCTCAGCTCCTGCAGTTGAGATAAACGCTGAGCTCTGCCACTTTCTGAAAGAAACTCCAAGTCCTAAGGGGAAATGATTTAGGGTTCTTCCCACTTCCCTGTTATGGGGACCAATTCTCTTTGTTCCACAGTTAACCCAAGCCCACGAACCAGGTTTAATATTGAACGGAACAAAGGTTGAGTTTCTCCACTCCACGCCCTCTCTTTCTCCTCCAAGGAAGGCACACTTTTTCTCAAGGGTTTGAATATACCACGTGCTTTCTTCTGGACCTGGCACCTTTTGTTCACTCTCTTTCCTGCTTATCTGCCCTAACTCCCACTCATCCTCTAGATCCTGGCACAGATGCCACTTCTCCCCCAAATCTTTTTTAACTCTTGGGCAAGCCTGTGTGGGTGTCCCCTAGCGTTGCATGGCACTTGCAGCGTTGTCTTAGCATGCCTGGGAGTTTTGGGAGGGCAGCAAGGTCGATTTTGTTGATCACTGTTTCTCCAGTGCCTCAAGCCCTGTGCCTGCACCCAGCTGGCATTCAGTAATGTTTATTGAATAAATGGAAACAAAAGAAATAAAAAGGCATAAAACTAAAAGGCTTCATGGAGTTACTGTAGCAGAACGCAGTCACACTACAGTCTATAAAGAAGGGAAAGGAAGTATGTTTTGAGGACCTGCAACATACCAGGCTTTTAAAAGATCCATTAACTCATCTGACTTCCACAATAACCTTCTGAGGTCAGGATTATGATCTCTACCAATTAAGGAATTGGTGCTCAGGCGAGCAAAAGTCTTTTCCAGGGTCACATGGCTGGGAAGCAGCAAAGCTGGGGTTTTACCTCCCTGGCGCCCTGACTGCAAATCCTACCTTGTCCCACTAGGCCACGGTATCTGCTCACAGAGGTGAGTGTTCGGGCACGTTTTTTCCCAGGTTTATTTGTGCAAGGAGTTAGGAAACAGGTTAAACCAATGCGGGGAAAGAGGACAAAGAAAAGGCTGTACAGGTCCAGTCTGATAGCTTAGTATTTGGAATTAGCAAAACACTTTGTGGGTATCTCCTGAGTCTCATTCTGTATTTAAACCTAATCCTGCCCTTGACCTTGGGTGGTCAGAGATGCAGAATGTGTCAAGGATGTGGTAGGACAAGGATCAAGTGGGGATATCTGTATCATCTTACCCAGTAACCTTTTTTAAAAACTAAAGATGTATATATATATTTTAGGATCATGGTGTCAAAATGTCATTTCATCAAAATAGCCATGCCACATTTTGTGTTAAAAAAATTCTGATATAAAGGCTGAGCACCCACAAGATATAAAAAAGATAATATCACATAATACTTGAAGTATTATACATTTCTTTAAAAAAGTCAAATACCCCAATGCCTTAAAGCAGGGCCTGGTAAGCCTGTGAGGTCAGTTATAACTAACAAAATATACCCAGCACAGCATGTTGGACTATCCATCGGATTATTTTTCACTAAAAAAGAAAAATCAAAACCTAGTTTTCTAATGTTTCTGACTTTCAACTCAATAAGTGCTTATGTATGTTGTCAGAACAGCTGTTTTTGGAATAGAAAAGTGGGGCACCTATTTTAGTGAAGAATCAGAGGGTACAGTTACCTTCCCACCACTGGTCCTTGAGCCGCCTCCACTCCCTACCCCCCGACAGCCTTGTGGATGGACCTCCTCACACCCCCCAGAGGGTACGTGTTCGGCGGCCTCACTCTCAGCTGTGCTGCCCTCCGTGCTGAGAGTACGCATGTTCAGCCATCCTACCTTAGTTCCCATCCCCTAGGAAAGGAGGTTGCATATGAAAACACACTTTTTCGCCAAAAAGACCCTACTCTTGTAGAAAAGCTTTTCGTTTTTGAAGGCTCTGAAGTAGGTCATCGACGTGACCAGTTTTGTCCATTTCCAGGGTGGGTGTGTTGTTAGAAAAAACCTGAGAATTGAGTCTGAGCACAGACCCCAGTCCAGGCTGTCACTAGCTGTGTGACCTCAGCCAGTCACATCACCACCCAGCCTACATCCTCGAGTTCCTGTGAGACCCGCCTGAGCCAAAGAGCACAATGAACCACGTCACCGTAGCGTTTATCCCCACCTGACCTGCTGTGTGCCTGCTCCTTCGGTCTGAGCTCTCCCCCCAGACTGTGAGCTCTATGTGGGCAAGATTTCACTGCTGTTTTCATTGCTGTTGTTCCTGCGGTAGCCACGGCTGCACCTAGGACGAAGCCTGGCACATGGCCGAGTGCATATACATTTTCTATGATTGTTAGTTCTTTTTCTAATGAGATCAATCAAACTCCATGATTCTGCACCTTGAAGGGCATCTGTACTCCTCTCCTAGGACAAGAAGGAATCAGCAGATCTTGTTGTCCTTGAAAACACTGCCCAGTGATCTATCATCTGGGCAAGTTTCCTAGCTTCTTCTGACTCTAAAAAGGCCTTTATGTTTTTAAGAGGAATTGTAAGGACTGTTAGTGGGGAGGCCACACATAACTCAGGCAGCTCAAGACTCCAAAGGTAAAATTCTTAATCTTAATGGCAAAACCACACGGGGCAATTTTTAGAAGTAATCCTATCAACAACCCATCGCTCTCCTTTGAATCACTGGTTGGGGCTGCTGACGGACACTGTCTGAAGTTGGTGTTGAACTTCACAGAAAAGGGAAGGAAGCGTTCTGCTAACTCTGCTGTGCCCTGTGAAAAGGAGAAACAAGGCTCTGGCTTCCCACGCGGTGGCCGCCATGCAGGCCACCCCAGCACTTCATGAAAGCAAACAACTCCGTGTCACATCGACGGCCTCCTTTTAGAGGGCAGTGGAAAGCTGCTGGATCATAAACACCCTGAAGTAGTGACAGCCGTGACAAGCTTTGCCACATCCTATTCCAATCCAGATGCTGAGTGGTATTTGAGTGTTGGACTTTCCACCACCTGAGCTCAAGTTTCAAGGAATACTTCACAATTGTTTACTATGTACCCCACCTTCGGTAGTAATTGCAAACCCAAACCCATGACAGCAACTTGCTGGTGTCTCCAGCTGAAAATACTGCATTGGTTCATTTCTTCTCTGCTGTTAACAGTTTTTCTAATTTTGCGAGAAAAAAAAAACAGTATAAAGAAAACACAATTTAAAATAAGGTCTTGAAACTGCTGTAAAGAGAGCTTTATTTACTACATACAACCTAAGAACGTGTTGTAAATGGAGCAAGACCTAAATAAATTTAAAAGCCTTTCAAATACAAAGCAACTAAAGACAACTAAACTGCTAGCATGTTTGAAAACTGAACTCCTAAAGTTTTTTAAAACATTTATATAGTTTGTTCTTAACCCTAAAAAAAAAAAGTTCACATTTCAAGTTATCAACTTCCCTCAGTAGTGTATGTGAAATGGGTTTGAGACAGAAACAATGAAAAGGTTCGCCATGGAACTGGAAAGCATTATGCTAAACAAAATAAGCCAGGCTGCGAAAGACAAATACCATATGATCTCACCTTTAACAGGAACCTAATCAACACAACAAACAAGCAAGCAAAATATAACCAAAGACACTGAAGTAGAGAACAGGCTGACAGTGACCAGAGGGGAGAGGGGAGGGAATTTCTGGGGAAAAGGGGAAGGGTTTGCAGGAACAGGTATAAAGGACACATGGACAAATATGGGGGGGGGGGCGGTGGAAACGGGAGAGAGGTAGGGAGGGCTGGGGGGGGCAGAGGGCTGCGATGGGAGTAAAAGGCAGAAAACTGTACTTGAACAATTAAAATAAAAAAAAATTTTTTAAAAAGGCTTGCCGATAGCAAATAGTCACACATTTGTTTTTAAGGTAGTTTGGTATTTGCCACATTAGGATGTTTTTTCTTTTTGCTCCCCCCACCCCAAATACGGGGGGGGGGGTAAAAAGAAAAAAAATAGTTATTTGAGGGGGTAAAAAGAAAAAATTTACCCCTACCCCACCCCCCCTCCCCCCCGAATAATTTACAGGCACATGTAAAATACAGTAAGACCACTGGGTCAGAGTCTCACCCAGTGACACTGTGACAGTCCTACACTGGAAAGAGGCCACTTCTTTCACACAAAGTCAAGGGATGAGGATCTGGTCCAAATTGCATCTTGTTGGATTATTCATTCCAACAGATTTGATGCAGCTTGCTGGGGACATCCTCAGGAACATTGCGCCATCACTTGATGTCATTTAAGAATGATGGAAAGCAATGTTAGGAATGTTTCAAGGTCTTTGCAGGCACTCAATAATTTTACACAATAAATAAATATTGCTTATATATAAAAATTTCATCCCACCCTCAGTTTGCGGGGGTGGGGGGGGGCATTTGGGAATCTCTTCATTTAGAATTTAAAAAACAAAACTAAACTATGTGCCAGAGGCACGATCCTATTATTAATCCACAAATAAGAATTCAGCCGTCAGCAAAAATGCAGTGAGTGGAAAGATTTTATGGATCGATAATATGACATAAAAACACAACTGCGTTTCCTGCTATCTATTGCATACCTCACTTCCTTGCTCGAGCCTTTAAAAAAGTTCCAAGTTGATGTATTTCATAAAGTAGATGACAGTCTTAATATTTTACTGTATTTTACATTCACTCTGCTAAGCAAAAGCCTTTAAACAGGCACAAAACACTGCAACAACATATTTACTTCCTAATAAAACAAAACTTGTAATAACATCAAAATAAAATGGTTTCACTTTGCATTAAACTATATATCATGAACTTCTGCAACATAAAAAAACCTAAAAGCATTAGGAGATATTTACAAACTCTTAACTCCTGCATACAAACTCTTAACTCCTGCAGCGCTCTCTCCTCCTCCTCTTCACCCCCCACAGTGTGCCTGCCCCCGCCACATTCAGTTCTCCTGTCACTTGCAAAGCAACACAGGGAAGCCCTGTTCCCTAAACAGCATTTCCAACACCACATTTTGCAAGAAACGTGATAAGGCAACTAGAAGCATTAACTTTCTGCAACAAAAGTCTCTGGGGGGCCTTGCCGCAATAACATTCATCGTCTCTACAAACTTATACTTCAAAAACAAATAAAATAAAGCAGTAGAAGTGGAACTGAAGTTTTATATTGGACAATTAAATAGCAATGCAAAAATGTCTTAGGAAAACTATTGAAGTCTTGGGCTTACCCATCAGTTCTATTGAAAATAATGTCCCCAACCCAAATAAAAAAAAAAAAAAAAACAAGCAACAAAATCCCAGGAAGAAGTACAAAAGCCATCAATGTTTTCTCTACCCGAGAAATTCATTTGCTCTAGATTTGCCACACAGGGGGGCAGGGCTGGGGACAGAAGGAAGGGGTGAGGGGGGGAGTGTGGAGGGAACATCAAGTTTAAGAGTAAAGTCAAACGGAGAATGAGCAGGGGCCCAAAGTGATGGTGGCAGGTGAGAGCTTTCCAGTGTGTGGACTCAGAAGTGTGACAAGTCTTTTCAATGTTGGCTTAAGGAGAGACTGAGTGTTTAATTTCTTAAATAAAAAAAAAAAATAGAACCATCACGGATAACACATGGTAACACCGTCTACCCTTAATGCCAGCAAAAATAGAGGTTTTACTCATTTTAAAATTGCACTTTCCAGTATAATTTTTAAAATAACATTTTCTGTAGTATTTTAAAGCACTATTGTTTGTATCTTTAAATATTGACTATACTTTTCAAAATGCTTCCCTAGCTGCTCAAGTGTGCTTTTTAATATATAGTTGATATATTATTGAAGGTACTACAAAATAGAAATCTCTGGAGTGCAGAAGTTAAGAAAATAACCTTCATACTGAAAATATATCCTTAAAAAATACAAAAACAAAAACCTCTATACAAACGTACTACAGCATACAAAGGTTTTAAGAGATGGTCATTAAGGCACGAACCCACGCGAGTCTCTTGGAAATGTATGAACACAGGCCTGCTACCTGGAAAACAGTCTTAAAAAAAAACTAGTGAAAACTTCATGTGTACAAAATATTGCAGGATGATGCTGCATTACATTCTTCACTTGCAGGTTGCGTGTGTGTGCCGAGCCCCCATGTTCTTTCTTCATAAATAGTAAGTGTTCCTTCAGCGGTCGTCTCCCGGGCGGCCCGCGCGCGCCCCCGCCGTCAGTACGTCTGGTACACGTCGTGGATGGGGACCTGGATAGCAGCAGCGGGGAAGGCCTGAGGTATGTAGCCTGCGTACCCTCCGTAGACGGCGGCGGCCGCGGCCGCGTTCTTCTGTAGTGTGGCGATCGTGGCTGTGGCCGGAGCAGCGAACGGGACGTAACTGGCCCCGTAGATCCCGGCGGCGGGGATTCTTTGCACGTTGGGAGCCACGGTGTAGACAGGAGTTATTGGGCGGCCCTGAGGAGGAGAGAGAAAAACGATGCCTAGTGATCACTGTACCTTTGGCCCTCCGTTCATTCAGCAAGTGCATTCGCTGGTTCCTTCAACTCCCACAAGTACAAACAAAGGCCTCCACTCGCAGGGCTGGGCAGGGAGGTAGGAGGGCAAGCAACGAACAATTACTCGTGTAAAGGGCATGCGAAGAGAGCCATTATGGTAAGGTGCAGTTGCGTCCTCAAGGCTCATGCAATTTCAACAGGTGAGAGTTAGACAACTGGATGCTAAAGGGAAGCTGGATCTTCACCACCTTCACCTAATCAGCACGTGCCCTGGAGGGAGCCAGGGAAGGCAGTCAAGAATCTATCCTTTACTCAGTGGGTCTCACTGCAATCAGACATTTCCCTAACACAGGGCCCTCACAGACATGCCAGCTGCCTCAACTCACACGTCACTGAAGGAACGTGGCCCTTCAAAGACGAAGAGGAGACACCCTGGCAACTGTACGGAACAAAGTTTACAGATCTCCAAAGGGGCGGCTTCTCAAGCTGTTCCTAAAAAAAGTGTGGCCACTCACAGTTTTCCACAAATGTAATGGTTTCAACCATCTCCCACCTAGGATATACCACCACTGTACACACCAATTGTTGCCAGACTCGGTCAGAAGGAACCAAGAAACCTGGGAAGCTGGAGGTGGCATCTCAGAGGTGGGGGCACGTCAGCCGGGCTTTAAAGGATGAGGAGTTTTCACGGGAGGAGGAAGGGGAAGAAGAACAAGCTCACTGACGCTGCCTCATGGTCGACACCACACCGACTGCAAAAGCGCCTGCTGCTTCCTCCTCTCTCCTTGCAAGCGTAACAACACACTGTGTTCCCAGAGCACACAGGAGCAGAGAGGGAGCACTGTGTGTGGTTCAGCATTTCCTGAAGCGTCCGCAACAGAGAAGGGGGTTTTTGGTGAAGACGTACACTGAACAACATATCTGCTGCAAATGCTGCTGTGGCCTCTCTGTCTTAATGCAGCATCACATAAACAGTGCAGGGTCTATGAAATGGAGAATTAGACTTTAAAAATGATCTCCTCCTGGATTTTGATAAAGGAATTAAGTTATCATTCCTCCACAGAACCTGCAGATCAGAGTCACAAAACTATGTTCAAAGGAACTTTATAACCTAAGAGTCATTTTTTTTCAACGCTAACCAAAATAATAATTACACTAATAATAAAAACTGGAAGATTATGGTCTGCTAGACTCTGTTCTACCAGCCTCATTGTGTGACATTATTGAGTCAATGCAACCGCTCGTGAAGCTGGCACCATGATCACATGGAGAGGTTCAGAGGTGCTAAGTGATCTGCACAAGGTGAAACAGCTTTTAAGCAGGGGCGCTGTGACTCTGGAGCCTGCACTTTTAAAAGCGTACATTATCTTGCCCTCTACAACCTGTAATGATGAATATCTCATTTTACAACCAGGGAGAGGAACTTTGGAACCGGGAAGACTGCTCCCAGCAAGATAACAGCGATCTTTTCTAAATGTGTGGACATACATTTAATGGCAAATGCACTAGGGGATGTCACTGCAGGGAAGGTGACACCGGAGAGGACCCGTTCTGTATGCGATAGTCCAGCCCAGCCCCCGGGTTCCAGTGTGTGGGATGGGCCGGGGAGCAGGGACCTCGGTGTTCTCTCCCCTCAAGGAAATGCTGCCCACACCAGCAAACAGTTTCTGCATTACTTATTAAGGCCACATGAAATTTTGGATATGAAATGGCTACACAGGAACATCCCTGGGCACCTGGAACACAAAGGGTGACTGAAGGTGTCCCATAGGAAGGTGGGCACTTGTTTCCACTTAGAAATGTATTCCATTCACCAAGTGGTAGGGCTTAAAATACGTCCTCCTCTGCTGCAGTTTGGCAGGGAATACCGAGGGGGTAGAGGACCGAGCTCGGCAGGGAACCCAGGTCAAAGACCTCAGAGGCAAAGACCTCAGAGCTCAGAGAACGCAGATGTGAGGGACAGTACCAAGGCCAAACCCACTCACAGAAACCATTCCCAGGTTAAAACATAAGTAGCCCCAGACATTCTGCAGAATATATCGAAGGAGGGAAAATTCTCCAAAGGAATCAACTGATGGTTGTACATTGAGCAAATTCTTAAGCAACAACTTCATATAAAGACCCTGATGGCAACAGCCAGCACAGATGGACAAAACACAGAAGCAGGCTGCTGTTCTGACATGATTTCGAGGCCTAGAATTTGGGTCTGACCAGAACTGGTGCTCCATGCCAAAGACGAAGGTTCACAAATTCCTCAGTAAAGAGGAATTAGAAATTATAACCAGAATTTCACCAAGGAACTGCAAGTTGCTGTAGATATTCACAGCCCACAAGGAGTAATGGCACTCAGCTGCCATTCCACATTACAGCCTACTCCTTCTCTGGCTGTAGAAGTCCCGAGTTAAAGACTACTTGATGATTTATTGGCAGATGGAAAAACGTTACCCTTTCTGAACAATGCAGTCAAGTCTGGTGCTCAAGTGGGCAAACCCAAGTAGACAGCATCCCACTGCGGCGGTTCACAAGGCTGGCTTTGCGTCGGCATCACCGAGGAGCCTGTAGCAAATATGGATTCTAGAACCCCAGCTCAGTTCTGTGAACTGTGATCTTCTGAGTCTAAGAATTTCTGTTCCATGGATAATTCTTATCCAGTTAGATCAGGGACCCAGGCCCGAGATTCACTGCCTCACTAAGAATAGCTACACACTTAAGATACAAAGAGATATAAGGTGTAGCTCTTGGTCTGGAAGAGCTTCATTTTATTTTATTTACCTTTTAAAATTATTTATTTATATTTTATTTTTAGGGAGAGGGGAAGGGAGGGAGGGAGAGAGGGAAACATTGATGTGGGAGAGAAACCGACTGGCTGCCTCTCGCGCGTGTGCCCTGACTGGGGACTGAACCTACAACCCAGGTATGTACCCTGACTGGGAATCGAACCAGAGACCTTTCACTTTGCGGAATACTGACCAACCAACTGAGCCATACCGATCAGGGCTGGAGGAGCTTCATTTTAATCAGGGAGATGGAACATACTGGCAGTCATGTGCCAGGTAATAAAGTAGGTAATGAGAAGTGCAGGAGAGATGATTTCCAAAGCTAAATGGATGGGCAAGACTTCACTGAAGATGAGGATGAGGAAACCACTGTTGGAAACCGCCCTGCCTGGTATCAGAAGCTGTACCCTCCACCTAGGCTAAGGCTGAGGGAGTGGCCTTGGACCGTAAGCCAGCAAGGAGACAAAAGCTTATCTCCCTGGCAGGAGCGCTGCTTCAGCTGTTTCATTGATAACTGAACCCCAAAGCTTGGTCGGTTAGCCAATGACAGGTAAGATTCCCCAAGGGGGGAACGACCTAAGACAGGCACAATCACATGGGAGGCCCCTAAAAGAAGGACTTTGGGGGCTACGGCAAAAGGGGGTGATGGACCCTCACTCCTCGGCTTTGACAAAGCCTGAGTCCTCATCATCTGGGAGAAAATCTCCTTATCTCTTAGTTGCCTTAGTTCCCTTGCTCCACCTAAGCCTGAAACAATGATGGAGGGTGGTGCAGCCCTGTGCTGGAAAGGGTGGGTTCCCCAGGTGATCAGGCCCAAAAAAGAATATGTAAAATCCTGTGAAACCTGCTTTGTTTAGAATGCTCTCAGTTGAATGATAAGGGTCCAAGGAGGAAGTTAGTTTGTTCCTTGAAGTCTTATCCTCTTTGACCTTGACTCAAAATAGGCCCTCAGACTTCCTTGTTATCTATTGTTTGATCCTTACTTCCTAGCAATGAGTAATGAGCTTTTACCTGAATTCTTATGCAAACGAAACCAATAAAAAGCCTCTCCAGAGGGGGAACAGTGCGCTCTCCTCACCGGGGAGGGTGGCCAAGTGGCGTGCTCCCCACGTGAGGAGTGGCCCTGCTGTTCCTATTCCCCCACAGGACCTGGTTATCACTGTGTATGTTTTTCTCGCATTTCGATGAGCCACCCGCAGAGTTCCGTGATCACTGCTGGCCGGTGACCCACACATCAAACCACAGGTAAGAGAACACCGTGAGAAAAAGGGAGGAGGAGGCTGGAATGGCAAGACTGGCCTGGGAGAGATTTGGGCACAGCTGGATAGGGTCGGAGATGATTAAGGGCAGATTTTATAAAATTGCACATATCTCTTAAGCTATTTCTTGCTCCATGTACATGTAATACATGCTTATATGTGTATACATATATGCATGTCTATATGCAGAGAGAGAGAGAGAATGCATGAAAAAGGTAGATTTTTAAACACAAATCTTCACGGAACTGCGGTTTGGAATGGTAAAACGAGAACTCTCTGCCTGGACTTCGGCTGTCAGCACCTTCACAATAAGAACATGAGTTAAACATTATCCAGGGTCATAAAAAAAGGAAGTACAACATTATGACACTGAGAAATCACACATGCCATTTTTGCATGTCGCTTCCCATCTTTAGTACGGTGAAAAATAATACAGTGATAATATTAGGGTAGTACGATTATGATTTAAATTTTTTTGTCCTGTCATGAGGCATATTAAAAATTTTTGGAACCTGATTCCACAGTTCCAACAGAAAGCTGGGCACACAACGAATTCCCCTGCTAATAGTAAACCAACCCGCAAGAACGGAGGCCTCACGCACAGACGGCAGCGACCGCGGGAGGAACTCTACCTGGAAAGGCGGCGGCGTGGACACCGCAGGAATGACGGCGGCAGCTGCAGCGGCGGCGGCGGCGGCGGCAGCGCTGGCTGGGTCTGGCTGCACCGCGATGGGGCTGATCATGTGCTCCATTGCGTGGATTTTGCCGTCTTCGATCATTTTAGGAGCAGGAGCTGCCTGAAACATGGAGTACTGGGCCCCAATAGCAGGGATGGCCACTGCAAGACAAGTGAGGGGGAAAAACGGGTCCATCACTTTCTCAATATTTAAAAAAACCCAGTTTGGGAGGCATGGGCTATTTATTCCCTGCTAACTTGTGCTTTCCCAGTGCAGGTAAGGAAGAGAGGGGAGGTGGCAGGAACTCCCCCTGCTTGTCTTTCACGAGGAACCACGAGGGCATGGATGGAGGCTCCCAACAGATCATCACAGAGGAAGTAAAGTCTAGAGTGAGGTTTCTACACCATTTCCCACGGCTTCTACAGGAAAATCTTTTGAACATTACTCCTGATGTCCTCCAGAGCCAGAGAGCGCCTTCTAACTGCGAAAACGGGCTCAGAATGAGAAGTGAGAGCAGAGGCTTGAGGCCCAGCCCTGGGAGAGCCCGCCTCCCTTCTCTCTCACTGTCTCGTCACCAGACCTGCTGCCTTTTCGCTTTCCCCAGTTCTGAGCAGCAGGTGCTGTTGGAGGTTTCACTCTGAGAACTCAGAGGTCTGCGTACACCTTCCCCACCCTGTGTTTCAGACTTCAACATTACCAACTCAAGAAAAACTACGCAATACAAAGGGAGAGATTCCCTAGTTTTCCAGTGTCCACTCATAACAGCAAAGCAGTAGGGACTGGTTTGTTGATGGACCTGCTAATTCCAAGAGGAGTTCCTGTGGATGGGGTCTGAAGGATTCATTTCAACCAGAGATTCAAACAGAGAGGAGTTACTGAATGTCAGTGTAGGATAAAGAAAGGTGAAAAGAAAAAAATACTAGCCCTGGTTTGGGGGAGTCTGTGTGTGGGGGTGTATGTTTAGTGTGTGTTGAGAGGAAAAGCAAGAATATGAAGTGCATACACAAAGTATCCTTTCATTTCTGGGTTTTCTCCAACTGGAGGTATATTTGTGCTAATAACAGCTGACTTCATATAGAGTAAAGAGACAGATTTGACTGTCGGATAAACAATGGTGTGGCCGTTCAATAAAATCTGCCTAAAAACTTGAACCAAATTTTTAACCTGCCTTTCCAACCGCATGGCCTCGCACCCAGACACTTCACCACTGTGCTGGTGGTTCTCCTAAAATAGAAAGTTCTAATTTTCTGGATCAAACAGAAATAGAGGCAAAGGGGAAGGGGCCTAGAGAGGGTTATATGAGTTTTAGCTACATGGGGGTTGTGCTAAGTAACTCTGGATTGTGCTGGTTGTCAGCCCCCCAGGAATTTCTACCTCGGGCCCCGGGACATGACTATGCACTTGAGCATGGTTTAAGAGTTCTCTCCCCTAGTTCAGTCTTAAGCTGCTGCAACTTGCCAACAGGATACCCTCTTCCAACAAGTGTTAAGTGACAACTCCTGCTTTCAGGCTCTGTTTTATGGAATTAGAGATACGGGATCAGTTTTACAGTGCTCCTAACATCAGGGGCATTTATGAGGAAATCCAGTCTGGGTCACTTACTTGCAGAATTTTTTTCACAAGCAAAAAAAAACCCACAAAAAAAAACCCCCCAAAACCAACCCCCCCCAAAACAACCTTCTCCCCAAAATAAAAAACCCCACATCATTATCACTGAATTACTTCAAAAGGAAGCTCTGCTGGGAAAATGCTTTTAAGCCCTACGTGGCCTATGCAAACCCATGCCCCGGATGCGCAGATTCCTTGACGGTTAGCTAGAAGGAGCATATACTCCTCAACCAGATGAAACTCATGAACTTCAAAGTGAGGATTCTCTCGAAGAGCTCTTCAGTCTGCCTCTGAAACCAGGAAGATGCCTGGAGGAGGACTGCTGTGATTACCCACAACTGGATTTTTCGTGGTGTGCGCTAACAGGGAGTTTGTGCTATGCTCACACAGTGGAGTTAAGTTCCCTGCAGGTTCGGGTCAGAAGGATGACCTGTCTCATCAGTGGGCACTAACAACACTGGCCAACTGGTTTGTGAGGCCTGGAGGTGAAAGCAAAGTTCCAGGTCCCAGTTTGAATCACTTCAGTACCCCCAAACCCCAAGCTACTGATCCAGAAAGAGGAGGGAATGAGTGCTGGGAATTGGAATGCAGGCAATAAGTAGCTGCAAACACTTTCACCACTGCCTTGGTTCCCTCGTTCCTAGGTGTTTCAGGTGTGTTAAGTTCAGGACAAGGGACAAGTGGTGCTATTTGCTCCAGAAGGAATTTTCTACACTCTCAGGATGTCAGTAAGCTGCACCCTCTGGCTTTTGATGGCTGGAGCAGAAAGTGGCTTGAGAAAGGAAAAGACAGTTTTTAGCTGATAGAAGACATAGAAGAGCCTCATATTCCATTTCCCACCCCCGACGTGGCCTACTCAGTCACAGGCTGGGAAAAAAGCCTCACAACTGGTGACACACATTTGAAACACACACTATTGGGAACTTTGACTTGAACATGGTCAAAACTAGACCATCCTTTTAAGTTCCAGATTAAGAACAGCCAGGAGGCCACATTCTTTGCCTAATCTCTGGCTGCCTATGAGAAGACAACCCGTGTGCAAGAGCTGAAGGTATGCTTGGGGTCACTTTAAAGAGAGGGTTGGGGTTTAGGCTGAATGGGTGCATTCTTGCTCTGGTTTATACTGACCTGTACCAGGTTTAATGGCAACTGGATTGACAGTAGAGATTTCCAAATTCGGTACAAGTTCATATCCTTTTTCTTGCTGCTTTCCTTTCCCTTCATGATATCGGCTGTATATACCACGGCCGGCAGAATATCCCCCGAGGTAAGAACCCCTGGGCCCCGGGGCTCTGTTGCCAGCTGCACCTCGACCCCGGCCTCTTATGCTGCCTGCTTATAATAACAACACAAAACAAATGATGAGCAACCAACAGTGACAGTACAGGAGACAGACCCTAACTCAAGGTTCTTGGCATTTAGGGGTTTGCCTGGAGTCTACGGCTGCAGGGGGCTAAACCTCGGCTCTTCGGTGAGCTGGAAGAGACACTTCAAACATTTTATTCCGGCCTCAGTTTGCACCCTAAGTATGTCTGCTCTCTGATGCAAGACATCACCTTGCAGGGTGAGTTCCCAAGATTGCAACTGCAACTTCAATAAAAACGTCATAGATTGTAAAAAAGTTAGAACTGGAAGGGAACTGCTGGTTTACCTTCCTCATTTTGTGTGTGAGAAAACAGCCCTAGGGAGGGTGAGAAGGCTGAGTGAACTCACAAACTCAAAAGAGCTGGTCAGTCGGTGAGCAGAACCCAGAATCTTGGTATTTTGTTTCCCACTGTAATACTCAGTTTTATTGTACCCTAGCCAATGACTTAAAAACAAACAAAAAAGCAAACCAATAACATTGTGCCCTCTACTCCCCAACATTCTAAAGATACAATTTCACAAGCAGGTTTCAGGTCCTAGTTGGGTAGATCTTGGGAAGGCAGTATGCAAGAACTTGCATGCCCCCATGATTCTACTGCTCACTCCATATGTAGGAAGGACCCGCATTTCTCTCAATGCTATAGAAGTGAATGCCTTAAGTGCCAGCAAAGAACAGAATCCAGAACTGGCACCCAGATAAAGGTGGGTAGAGGGGGTCGGGTCCACCAACTCAGTTACAGCCACAATGCCCCTGACGTAGCCCTCCTAGCAGACGTGGCTCTCCGGGGCCTGCCCAGGAGAACTGCCCCCACTAACCTTTCACGAAGTAGTCCCTGTTGGGGCCGATGAGCGCGTTGTAGGGGTAGCTATAGTAGGCCAATGTGTAGGGGTCGCACGAGTACACGTAGCCAGGTGACTGCACAGCAGCCCCTTCAGCCACCGCGCCGCCCTTGGCCGCCTTCTGGTAGCGGGAATACTGCTCCTTGTCCACCGGCTTGGCCAGCGTCACCTCGAGGCATGAGCCCTCCAGGTCTGTGCCGTTGAGTTTCTTCATGGCGTGCACGGCGTCCTCCCGGCTGGCGAAGTGCACGAAAGCGTAGTCGCGGATCTTTTTGACGCGCTCCACGCAGCCTGGGTTGAACTGGCCAAAGATTTTCTTGATGGTGTCCTCTGTGGTCTCCATCATGAGGTTCCGCACATAAAGGATCTTCACGGTCTCCATCACGTCCTCGTCCACGTCGATCTCAGGTTCGGCCCAATCCACAGCGATCTGGTGGCCCCACAGCTGGATGCGGCCGGGCATGAGCTTGCGGCGCGCCATGGCCGCGGCCCGGTGGCTCTCGTACTCCACGAAAGCGAAGCCGCGGTTTTTCATCTTGTCGGCTGCACTAGCGTAGACGATCACATCGAGCACGCCCTCGGTGACCTTGGCGATCTCCTCCAGGATCTCCTCACGCTTTTTCATCTTGGGAATGCCTCCGATGAAAAGGCGGCAGTTGTCGACACTGCAGCACACGCCGAGCAGACGGCCCGGGCGGATCTCGTAGTTGTTGAGCTCGCGCACAGCGCGCTTGGCCTCATTCTTGTGGCAGTACATGACGAAGGCATAGCCCCGGTTCTTGCCGTCGAAGTCCATCATGAGGCGCAGCTCGTAGATGCGGCCCACGGTCTCGAACACGGGCACCAGCTCATCCTCGTACACGTCGCGCGGGATCTTGCCCACGAAGACCTCGCAGCCGCGCTGCGGGTGCGGGCCCTCCCAGCCCGGTGGCGGGCCGCCGTACTTGCGCTGCCCGTTCTCCTGCACCATGGTGTAGCCCGTGCGCGCCAGCAGCGCCAGCAGCGCAGCCTCGTTGGGGGCGCCGGCCACGCCCTCCGGCACCTTGGCCGAGGACGCAGGGGCCGAGTCGCTGCTCATGGCTGCGGTGGAATCTTCTGCAGTCATAATGTCAAAGGCATCCACGGCTGGTGGAGACCTAAGGGAGGCAGAGGGAGGGTGAGTGTGGAATCTGCACCGAGTGGAGCCAGAACCTGACTCCCTACCCCACACCCCCCTTTTTTAAAGACATACAAGACATGCTTATCCATCAGGTGGTCAAATGAGAAATAAGATGGAGACCGCTCTGGAAATGCAGCAGCTCTAAAATAGTCTAAATTACTCAAGTGGTTTTGCACGAAAAACCGGAAGTGACTCGTAAAAATTGAAAATGAATGAGCAAGTACTTCCGCTTAATCAGCTTTTGAAGCAGAGAGAACCTGCTGTAATTGTCAGTGAAAACCTCATGTTCTTGCTGCAAATGGCAACATCTTTGACTTAATTCCTGCACTGTCAACTCAGATAGATTTCTTTTTAGTTATGGGATTTAACCCCCATTTACTGCTTTGGCAGACAAAGCCTCTTTGCTTTCTTTTTAAAGACAGTCTTTTTCATTTAGGATTGGAAATAAAGCAATGTATTTACATTGTTAAGAATAACTTTGAGATGTTATACAAAATAGATACAGAGCTGTAGGCTGAAGCTTTTTACAAGGAAGAAATGTAGCATCCACATTGCCAAGGGCTTGGCCTAGGAGCTGTGGTAGAGAGCAAGCATACTGTGATTTTAATGGTGCCATTCAAATGAAACTCTTGGTATGTATCATTCATGGATTTACAATCAGTCCACAATGAGATTAAGTTCAAACTGGGAGACTTGTGAAGCTGCAGCTACCTGGTAAACCACGCTCTAGTTTTCAGAGAAGTGTCACATGCATTATCTTATTTGATCTTAACTGCCTTACATGGTAAGTGATATTATCATTAGTCCCAATTTCTCTGTGGGGAAGTAAACTCAGAGAGGCAGGCTAAATTGCCTATTTCACATGGCAAATATCAGCTAGTACCAGGATTCCAACTTGTCTAGCTCCAGGTTCTGTGTTCTTCTAAATCAGTGCTGTGCCACAGAACTTGCAATGAGGATGGAAAAGCTGTCACCAGCCACAGGCGGCTACTGAGCACTTGAAATGGGGCTAGCAAAACCAATACACTGAGTTAATTAATTAATTTAGAATCACACGTGACAGTACAGGTCCAAACTGTGCTACCTTCACACATGCAGCTCAGAGGTGTGTAGAAATGATTATTTTTCATCTTTTTTTCCAGTGGCAATGATTGTAAGTTATACAATAAGATTATTGCTAGGAGCTGTGTACTGTGCTTTTGTAATAAAAAGCTCCTGATTGGCCTTTTGAAAAAAGTTATTTTTTGAACTATAAAAGTACTAAAGTAAATTTTATGGAAAATTAATAAAAGTAAACAAGAAGTCACTCCTAATTCTGCTTTTCAGTGATGGCCCAAATTAAACTTTCCCATCTTTTTTAAAAATAGGTTTTTAGGGGTGGGTGGGTAAAGCTTGGCTTCTAACCAATTTATATCCTGCTGCTTTATTTTATTTTATAAGCATTCCTCCATGGTCTTAAAACTCTTGCAAAAACATAAAAATTAATGGCTGCTAAGGTTTCATCGTGTAAGAACCCAGAGCGTCATATTTTTAAAAAATATGCCACTAGGAAATATATACAGGAGTATTAAGGGAAATTTTAAGGACAATTAAATTTATCTAAAGAAAAAACAAAACAAAACAAGTTGTAACGACACAACAGAAACCTGAGATGTTTATTTGCCAATTGGCCAAAACAATTCTTCTCTGGTTTATCGGCTGTAACAACGGGATGCAGAGCAGTTTAGTGGGGCATGTGGCACGGCCTCCGGAGCCAGCCTGCTCGGCTGTGTGTGAATCCTAGCTCGCACGCTTCCTGGTTGTATGACTTGAAGCAAAGACACTTAGCTGCTCTATGCCTCAGTTTCCTCATCTACAAAATGGAAATGTTGATGATGGTATGAATATTAGGTTTGGAGGAGTGACTTAAAATACACAAAGCACTTGGAATTCTGTTCAGAACATGTTAAATGCTCCGGAAATGTCATTATTACCTTTTTTCCAAACTTCTGGGTAAAACTTTAGACCAACTCTCTCAATTTTAGATAAATTTTGACATTTTGTCAGTTCTTTAAAAATATCTGTCTGATACGGCTTCTATTCTTTTTTATTTCTTTGCTGTTCAAGTGCTTGAAAGCTGGTTTGACAACATATCCAGTTATCCTAAAGGTTTTTTAGTACACATTTGAAAATGATACATTGGTTCCTGTAATTTCAAGATGAAACGCAAATTTCAATATCAGATTTGAATATGATGATCTTTTCCTCCTTTCAAATGGAAGATAGGATATATTCTTAAGACCACTATTTGTATAAGCATTTATGTGTTTATAATCTTTGTCTTGGGAAGAAAATACTAAACACACATATGAACATGTTGAGGCAATTCAAGATCTTAAGCGTTGCACTGTTAAACCACTGACTAGAGGACGAAGGAACAGACAGAACTATCACTCTGCTGAGGCATGGAGCACTGACTTTTTGTTTTCCCAACTGTACTCCGAAACTCTCGTTTTACACCGCACGGAAAAGTCCTGTAACCGTCAGACTATGGGAGTAACTCCCAATTCCATCCCCATTAAATTCACCAAAAATTCTGTTTGCTTTTAGTCTGAAATCTTCCGGTTATCAGTAACATAACCATCTCATTGAAAATAGATACAGCTTATTTCTTATATCTATGACCCAAGAAAAGTCTTTTCTTCCCTGAACGTCCATCACTTGAAATAAATGAATCATGTCACTGGCCTTCTTTCCCTCTTCGCTTTGGTCATTAGGAAGTTCAGTCACCTCAGTTTTAGGACCTGTATCAGACATTTCAACACATTTTCAAGCTCATCTAATTTTGGCGATAGTTTTACTTTTTTAGACTTTTATATTCCCAATGCCAAAAAGTTAGCTATTTATTTATATTATCAATCTTACTGTCCGCACATTCTTTAAGTCCACCTCACATAATTGTACAGCTAGGAGAGGAATACACACACACACACACACACACACACACACACAGATCTCATTTGCAGCGGACGCTAATTAATGCAGTCTCTAAACTATTACATGAACTACAAATACTGACATAAAAAACAAGTGTGAACCACCATGAGATATCACGTTGCAACCATTAGCATGGCTATTATTTTTAAAACACCCGAAATGCGTGTTGGAAAGAATGTGGAAAAACGGGAACACCTGTGCTTTGCTGGTGGGAATGTAAAACGGTCCAGCTGCTGCAGCCGACAGTGCGGCTGTTCCTTGGAACCTCAAACATGGAATTAACACACGATCTACCGATTCCACCACAGGGTACAGACCAGAAAGAATTGAAAACTGCGACTCAGACAGATATCTGTACACCAATGATCATAACATTCTTATTTCCAATAGCCAAAAGATGGAAACAAACCCAATGTCCACTGCCACAGGAATGGGTAAACAAAATATGGTATATGTACAGAACGGGATATTACCAAGCCTTAAAAAGGAAGGAAATTTGGACACATGCTACAACATGGATGGACCATGAAGACATTATGCTAAGTGAAATAAGCCAGACACAAAAGTACAGATATTGCGTAACCCCACTCACTAGAATAGTCAAATTCATAGAGACAGAAGATAGAGTGGTGGTTGCCAGGAGCTGGGGAAAGAGAGAATGGGGAGTTAGTGTTTACTGAGTTTGTTAGAGACGATGAGAACAATGATGCAAATGGACTTAATGCCACTGAACTGTACACTTAATGTTCTGTAAACTGAAGAAGGGCTGTTGGTTTGATCCCCAGTTGGGCACATACCCGGGTTGGGGGTTCAATTGCTGGTCGGGATGTGTGTGGAGGCAACCAATTGATGTTTCTTTCTCACATCAGTGTTTCTCTCCCTCTGCCTCCCCCCTCTGAAAACAATGAGTCCTTGTTCTCCCCCCTCTGAAAACAATGAGTCCACAACAAAAATGTCCTTGAGTGGGGGTTAGAAAATAAAATGGTTAAAGTGGTTAATTTTGTTATGTGTATTTTACCACAATTTTTTTAAAAAACTAAAAAAAAGTGGTAAGGCTCAGAGATGCAACATGGACAAAAACAAGATCCCACAAAATTAGAATTTCATTGGAAGCCAATCAAAAATGGTACATTGAGTTAGTTGGACACATTCAGGAAAATTTTATGGTTTACAAACTCTAATAGCTAATATAACAGAGTTGAAAGATTATATGGGGTGCTGCAATGAATTTGAGCCCAAAGGCTTAGATATGCAAAAGATCATTTATTTAATGCCCTAAAAAAGGAACTATATACAGCTAACATGACCTTTCTCTTTAGAGATGTAACAGAATGTGTAACTACAATTAGACATGCTTTATACCAGGCCTTGGCCTCCTATGGCCATGGCCAAATGCAGCCTGCCCTTTGTTTCTGTGAGTCAAGTGTTGTTGGGAAACACAGGCCTCCCCATACATATACACACATATATATACATATATATCCATACACATACACATATATATCCATACATGTACACACACATATCCATATTATTTCTATATAGAAAATTATATATATATATATATATATATATATATATATATATATTCTTCTTAGGATAGAGGTGTAGACACAATGAATAATAAGCAGACTTCATTCATTGAACCTTGACTGTGAATAATAATTTAAAATACCTGGATAAATGGCACGGAATTGTCCAATTTCACCCATTCGGCACATGGCAATTTTTAAATGGATTGGACAGTCTGATTTTGGCTGCCTAGCCCACTGAATAAATAGATACACAGTCTCTGGAGTCAGAGAGATCTAGTTCCCAATCTTGGCTTTTCTGCTTACTAGCAGTGAACCTGGGACAGAGACATTTAATCGCATTAGACCTCAGTATTCTCATTTTTAAAATGGTGACAAAAATAACTAATGTTCATTGAACGCCTATTATGTGCCAGATGGTATGCTAAGCTCTTTACATATATTTAACTCACTTTAATCCTTACAATGTCTGCATGGGTTACAGGATGTCTACCTTTTAAAGGAACTGAGGCACAGAGAGATTAGGTAGGTTTCCAGCTGACGAGCATCAGAACTGGTATTTGAACCCTGACAGTCTGGCTTAAGTCTGTTCCGGCTGCCCCTGAGTGACTCTTACCACAGGGCTTTGGTGAGGAGTCAATGCAATGACCCGTGTAAAAGTCCCAGGTAGAACCTAGCACCAAGTGCTCAGGAAATCTCACCATCAGAAATTTGAACTAAAAAAAAAAGACATTTGAACTTTTAAGAATCTTGACCCTATGTAGGATTCTTCTGTTTACAGGGAAACAGGCAAGAGGGTATTTTAGCCATCTCTAAACCAGTGAGTACGAGAAGCCTACCCTGTGAGTTCTGGCATAGACTGGTGTACCAGAGTCTTCCAGATTCCCTCTGCAGCAGGTAAGGTGCCTGGCAGCATGGTTTCTCCACTGGTGATGTGGCTCGGGCATCCAAGTGTAAGCCTGTTCCTCATTTAACTCTTGGCCATATAGGTTTGTGAAGGCTCTTCCAGAATGAACTTGAAGAAACTTGCTGAATAGGATGCAAAAGGTCGAGTCACTCATCCAGGTGGGTGCCAAATCCCCTGAGGCATGACCCTCCTATCCACAGCCATAAACACACACACACACACACACACACACACACACACACACACACACGGTGCACCCAAGGCTGCTAGCATTAAACAAACGTGGCAGTATATTTGAAACAAATCACTTATGCACAGTTTGGCATATAAAACAGAGAAACACATCCTTTCAAATCCAATTATATTATTCTTCTGAACTGCTTAGCTAGAATTTTTGTTGTGTTTGTCTGAGGTCAAGTTTGAGCTTGTCAGGGTAAAATAAAATTTCAGAGTTAACTCAGACTTAAAGCAAAAATTATCAAGGATTTGAATTCCTTTCTTAGTACTGGTTCGGAGTACCTTTCAGTAAGATTTTAACCTTGAGCTAGGATATTTTAGAGAGCAAGGGATACCATTGTACTGGGAAATACTTCTGACAGCAGTCATTACCTAGCCTCCAGAGCAGGCATGCATTTACTCCAGAATTATCAAAACTACTGGTTAACTTTGGTTCACTTCTCTAGGGGTGTGTGTGTGTGTGTGTTTGTGTTTGAGATTAATATGCAATTTGAAATTCTTGGGAGAGTTTTATTTGCTAACCAACGGACACGTTGTAATTTGAAGATATATTCAGTGGGGAGCAGTGTCTTCCAGCACTAGCTGGAATTTAATTCAATGGAAGGATTTAAAATGTATTTATCCAAGAGGTAATTCTATCTCTGCTTGCAATTAGATTTCTATTTCAATATCCCTTATTCATACCATAAAAATTTTGTCCTTCCTAACAGTTACTTCTTAGGCATGAACTGACACACACAATGCATGGATGTAATTCATGTAATAGAATACACACCGTACTGGTGAAGAGCAAAGACTTTGGAGTCAAAGAAATATAGGTTCAAATCATGACTGCCACTTACTATGTGTCAAACAAGGTAAACTGCCTCGGTTCCCTTTCCACATCTCTAAGATGGTTCTAGTAATAGCACCCATTTCGGATGAACGGTTTCAGGATTAACGTACATTTAATGCCACAAATCAAGTTGGGGCCGTAGAATTGAAGACACCAGCCTTGCAAAAAGTTTCCAAGATTCAGTCTCACCCTGAGCCACTGGTTCTTACTGCCTTGTGCCAAGCTGCCACCACCCCCTGGAATGAACAGCAGGGATAGCACTCCCACCAGCCGGCAGGCAGGCCCCTGGCAGTGGGACATTTCTGGTGTTACCTCGGGGCTTGAAAGTGTAAAAGGAGTTCTGTTCCCATGGAGGCAGAATACTTGGAATTTACCTGGGGGCCCAAACAACCTGAAGACGGAAGTTGAAGCTCTTTCTTCTATCTCAGCTGGCAACCTCATTCTACTTGAGGGCATGGCCCTTGGAACAAAAAAAGCCTTCTGTGACTCTCTTGTTTGGGTAAAATCCTGAGAGGATACCGAGGCAGTAGAATGCTGACCTTCTGGGCTCTACCTTCCGTCCCCTCCAGTCACGCTGCATCTCACAGTGTGTTGATGCTGGTACAGGTTTCCTTATGGCAAAGCATATCGTCCAATGAATGCCTGTGTTTGATAAACAGATGCAGAGCCAAGGGGCTCACTTTTCCCAGGCATTTCTATCAACACATCCCTGAAAACGAGGCATGTTGCTGTGGGTTCCCAGGGACAAAGTCACCCCCCCGAAAGGGGTGGGGGGCGCTGTCTTCGGGTGTTTGGCAGCACACCAATCCCCGTTAATAATCTGTTATCTTGTTCCCTTTAAATACGCATGACACACTGAACTTTTTCTCAACAGGTTGATGGGGTAATGCTGAAAATAACAAAACCAGTACATTCGGCACACATCTGCCTACTGGATTAACATTTTCCCAAATTCTGAACAAGTAGGAGGAGGCACTTCCAGTTTCACCCCTTATTTTAGCTCCTTTGACCTAAACCTTTAGGAATCGGGCAAGCAACAGAAAGGATGACCAGCAGATGGATACCAGAAAGGAGCTGGAAGAGAAGCAGCAATGGCTAGTATAATAGTAGCTTCAATTTATAGTGTTTTGCAATTTATAAAATTATTTCACATATACACCTAATTTCATAATATCCCAGAATTTGAGCTGCTAATGGACCTTAGGTATCATTTAATCCATGGTTTCTCAACCTCGTTCCCTCTGACACTGGGGGTGTGATGACTCCATGTCGTGGGGGGCTGTCCTGTGCTCTGCAGCATGCCTGACCTCTGCCCCAGACGCCAGGAGTGCCCTGCCCCCACTTTGACAACAGAAATTTCTCAAGTTGAGAATTCCTGATCAGGTCCTGGAGCTACAAGCGGACTATATACATGCACACGGCAGGTACTAAGTGAACCAGTCAGAGAAGCTGGTATTTTCTGTATCTCCGGCCCCAGCATGGGCTCAATGCTTTGATCTGGCTCTCATTGTCAAGGCCAAGACAGAGAAATGTGCCATACTTTTCAAAGGTCCAAGAAGATGTCTCTATGATGCCAAACTACTCATTTAATTTGGTCAAAAACTTACCAATTTAAAATTTCAAACCACACAAGCCCTGTCAGACTGATTCTGGTGTCAAACTGATTTGTCATCTCAGATAAACTGACAGGTGTGGATCACAGAAACACCACTTTTGAAATCAGGCTAAGGATCTGCCAAGCTGGAGAAGTGCCTCATTTAAATCCACACTCCTTTGCTTTTTGGACGCATGAAAACTGCTGACAATCGGTTTTAAAATCTTGGACTTTGCTCACATGTCATTGCTGGTGTCTTCAATAATGTGAAGAACCTCATTTAAGATTCAGAGGGCTTTTTTTTTTTTAAAGATATACTATGAAGAATCACTAAATGTGTGCTCCTGGAACACAGTCAACTAAGTGGCACTAAAACCAACCTCCCCACCCCCTCAGGCAGAATGGTCTGGTGAGATAGACAGACAGTATTTATATATACCTTAACTCGTTCGCTCATTCATTCAACCACTGATGGAACATTTGCAGTATGCCAGGCCGGACGAGGGGTTCGGGGATACAAAGGTGACTGACTACTGCCCAGTCCTTGGGGTGGACGAAGAGGAGGGAGAGAGAGCGAGCAGAGGGGCCACCAGATGGGCAGCCCCATAAGGTTGTTCAACCCTAAGAGGTCACACAGGTTCTTTTAACAAACACTACCGAGTGCCAAAACTACAACAGTGGTTTAGTCAAGTGTACAAGCAACAATGGACCATGGGTCTCAACAGAGCCCGAGCAGTGGCCCAGCTACAACAGGTGGACAAGGGCTGAACATCCGCAGACACCTAGCTTTATGCTCAGAGACGGGAAATCTGCAAGCGTAGAGCTCTCCTTACACTCCCACACTCCAGAACTCATTCATTATGTTATATGTAACATCATTGCAGATATAATACATAAGCAATGAGGCTGTAAAAGAATGAATTAATTAAATCACAAAAGTGAAAATCTGTTTTATTGAGCATCTTCATAAGCCAGAGCCTCTGCTGACTGCCGTCTTTCAGCACAGGGAGGCGAGACCTGAGAGGACACACTGTCCATGGCAAGTCTCGTATTCCTGGGAAAGTGACGGTGGGCTATGTTTCACTCCGATGCTACGAAGAGAGTGGCTCTGAGGGCAGAGATGAGTAAAAAGCAACTCCCTCTGGTGGAAAAGACATGGACTAGAAATAATCTCTCAAAGAGTTTCCTTAATCTACAGTTTAAAAACTTGAGTTAATGATAGCTACCGCTTCTGAGCCCTTATATGTATAAAAACACTCTAAGGAAGTTACTTGCTTTTTATGACATCCCTATGAGTTTAAAATGTGGACTCTAGAATGGGGGACCAGCAAACTACAGCCAGTGGGCCAAATTCAACCCTCTGGCTGTTCTTATAAAGTTTTATCAGAACACAATCATGCCCCTTTGTTTGCCTGTTGTCTACGGCTGCTTTCATGCTACAACAGCTGAGTTGAGTTGTTGCAGCATAGACAGTGTGGCCTACAAAACCTAAACTGCTTCCTCTCTGGAATGAATGAATGAATGAATGAATGAATGGAAGAACCAATGAATGAGGACTGTCTTTTATAAGAAACATGTAAGACAAAATTACAAAAATAACTTTATCATATGTAACTACCAGTATATTGCTTTGAAAAAAAATTTTCACATATCTGTTTACACTGACCTTGTGTGGGCTACCTGCATCCAGAAGTGGGTACAAACAGGCATGCCCAGTGTTGTCCAGCAGTGTATCTTATGACCAAAAAGGGCCCATTAAAGAGTGGATGGGCCAGTGCTGGTACGGGAGCTGGCATTCCTAACACACAGCTCAGGCACCAGCAGCATCAAGGGGGAGAGGCACGGCAACCACTGGTGGCCTCTGTGGAATGCGAAGGCTAACCTCCTTGGAGCCTCCTTGGTGAAGAAGCGGGCACTGGGCAGCCGGCTGCAGAACTCCATGACTTTTTTGCCTTAGTTGATATGCGGAGCTTTTGCTACATTGCCTCAAAAAGTTGGTAGAGATTTTATGCCACAAGGAACTGGGCACAAAGATGATGCCTGGCTAAAGGCAGCTTCCAAAGGCCATTCTACGTGCAGGCATTTCGAGAAGCTGGGCATCGCAGTCCTCGGGCTGCTCACATACACTGGGAAGGACGCTTTCCTCCCCGGCATTCTCTCCTCAGGGGCAGCCGGCTCTCTGCCGGCAGTGGGGGTCTTGAGGAGTTGGAAAGTAGGTTACAAGTTAACCTGATACTAACGATATAATACATACATTCACAAATGTCTCCATATGAAATCCAAGGTTTTCCATCTAATGATGTCACTGACGTATCCATCATTCTACTTTCCAAGGGCGACTGCCACGCCCGGAGCCACCCCTTGTCTCAGAGGGGAAAAGAGCAGGAAGCAGCCCCTTTCCGTGGGAAAAAGGCATGACCTCTTGTCATCCTTCCTCCTTATTCATGTTTCCTTCA